GACTGATATAAGTTTGTATAGAATTCTCTAAAGCACTCATTAATCTGACGGTTTCCTACTTGTCTTTCACCATTCACATCCACAATAGCTGTGATAAAAGAACTTGATGGTATTCCTTGCAAGACAAGCCAAAAAGCGGTTAGGCTTATTAGCTGATTCAAAAAGCCATCATCTGGCAAGAAGGACATCTCTTTTAGCCTTTCGCATTATCAAATTATGCAAAGATGTCCTGGCAATATTAAGCTCACTTAATGTTTCAGCTGATTTTGTTACATAATATTGTTTCTCCAGCTTTTTTATATTATTCTCGATCTCTAACTGCCTTGTTAATCGTTGCTTTCTTTTATGACTTGTGTATGAAATAATCATCCCTCTCATGTAAGCCTTATAGCTATCCCATAAAGTTCTTGTGTCTATCTCGTGTCTAATAATGTTGTTTGCTCTGTTATAAAATGTATAAATTTCTCATCCAAAAGAGACAGTGTGCTCATCTTCCAAGACCTGGAGCGCTCAATATGTCTCATGGGTTGAATGGTTAGGACTACAGGAGCATGGTCAGAGAGACCTATATGACCAATATTTACCTGCTGAACTAACTGAATGATACACTTGGACATAAAAATATAATCTATACGAGATGCTGACAAGCGAGGGTTAGAGTAGAAAGTGTATTCTTTAGATAATGGGTTATAGTGTCGCCAGACATCTATAAGGTCAAGCTCATTTATAATTTGCCAAAGGGTTTTGGAATTTTTTGACAAAGTAGATTGTGGGGGAGATTGATCCATTTTGGGGCATAAAACACAGTTAAAGTCACCTGCTAATATTATATTAGCACAGTCCATGTCCACTAATTGACTGAATAATACTGTGTAAAACTCATCATCCTGTGCATTCAGCGCATATTACCTAGGAGAACAGTTTCCCCATGCAACATCCCTTTAACCAATATATGTCTTCCATCATTGTCCTTGTGAGTGGCTGTAACAGTGAAGGGACGATTTTTGTGGATAAGGGTAATAACCCCCCTTTTATTTGTGGAGTAGGATGAGAAAAATTTTGACCAACCCATTCTCTACAGTATTTTCTATGTTCATCATCTGTCAGATGGGTTTCTTGCAAAAAAGCAACGTGAATCAAATCTTCTTTTCATCACATTGTTGGACCCTTTAACATTCCAAGTACTTATCTTAACTGACATACAAGAAAAGCAATATATATTTTGTGCTGTTTACATATTTAACCAAATCTACATTTGACCAGTCTGAACCTATTAACCAAAATAGTTGAACATAAAACAAGAACACTGGTTCCCAGCAAAACCTGAACACAAAGCCTGGAAACCTCAACCCTCCCCAACACAAATAACACAAAGTAAAGTAAAATAAATGAGACATCTAGGTGTACCCTGCTCTAAAGTACAGCTGTAGGGGGATACAGACGCGTAACATACCCGCACTGGAGTGTATGTCAAAAATCAAAGTATACTCTATACCTTAGCTCGTTAACAGTACTGTAATGCTGTAAGTCTCGAGTTTGCAACTTACATATGAATGGCACTGTCGTGCACCAACAGTTTATTTAGGTCTTTGAAATTTGCTCACGTAGCCCTTGACGTCCTGGATGGTCGCGAGGGAGATACTAGTACCATCGGGGTTAGATATTTTAATGATGTTTGGATAAAGGAAGGAATATTTGATCCCCGCCTCTCGGAGGGCTTTACGCGCATTCACCGACTCCTTTCTCTTTCGTGCCACCTCGGCTGAGAAATCCTGATAGAAGGACACTTTCACGTTCTGGTGTTTTCTTAAGTTGCAGTCCATTTGACCTCTCGAGGCCCACATACTTTTCATAGGTTGTAGGTTT